ACCGCGGTTCAATCCCCCAGCACCACATGCCAGCCAGCCCCGTCCCCTGGTGGGCTGAGCTGGCCACACACACACACACACACACACACAAATAAAATTAAAAAAAAAAAAGAAATAAACTTAAAAAAAAAGTCTGCTGTCAAACAATTTGGGTCAAAGTGTTCTTGATCCTTATAATTAACATCTATGGATCCTGGAATTTTTTCTCCTCTCTCTTTTCTCCTTTCTCTTCTCTCTCCTCTCTCCTCTCACAGAAGGATTTTTTTTTTTTTTTTTTTGGCTTGGCTTAGGCTGCCTTCATGCTGGTTGTGGTGTGGCTTGTGGAGCTGGGGATTGAACTGTGGTCCCGCAATCCTGACTGGGTTTGCCCTGGCAGGCGCTTATACAACTGAGCTAACCAGCAAGCCCCTAAGTTCAGAAGGATTTTTTTTTTTTTTCTCTCCTCTCACAGTAGTTCCTGGCTGGGCTGGGTTTCTGACTCCTTTGTGCTTACAGGGTATCTCTGGGATTTTCAATCCCATGGGAATTCTAGCTTAACAAGCCGATCATGATTTTAGATTTCTTCAATTTTGTTCATTTTTTTCTCTTCACCAGCTGGAGGGATCCCTGGAGCAAGAGAAGAAGGTACGCATGGACCTGGAGCGGGCAAAGCGGAAGTTGGAGGGTGACCTAAAGCTGACTCAGGAGAGCATCATGGACCTGGAGAATGACAAGCAGCAGCTGGAAGAAAAGCTCAAGAAGTAAGCACCTACAGCAGCCATGGGACAATAAAGATGGTGTCTGGCCTGAGCACACAGTGCTACCCTTCCACAGCTAGGGTTTCCCTGGGCACACACACTGGGATTTCTGAGGGTCACCACAGCCTTCCCCTTTTACTATCTGGGCCAGGAAGGAGGAAGCAGTTCTGGTATGCTGAGTCAAGAGAAAAGAATAGGCCCAGAGGAGGGAGGACCACCAGTTACCACCCCTTTCTTTTCCAGGAAAGAGTTTGACATTAATCAGCAGAACAGTAAGATTGAGGATGAGCAAGCACTGGCTCTTCAGCTACAGAAGAAACTGAAGGAAAACCAGGTGATATTCTTCTTGGTACAGTCAAGGGGTCACCTACCTGATGCTGAGGGAACTGCGTAGGGTTCTTTTTTTTTTTGATGGAACCGGGGATTGAACTAGGTCCTTGTGCTTGCCAGGGAAGCACTTATCCCACTGAGCCATCTCCCCGGCCCCTAGGGTTCTAAATAATATGTACAATTCCAGGCATCCCCAGAGCTCCAACCACCCATGACTTCCAGGCAGAACTAATCTTGCCCTAGACTTCTTGAGCAAGAATGTCTCAGTGCAGCAAAACTATTCTGGAGGAGAATCATACCTACAAAAGGATTTCTCTTTCTGCAATACACTCTGCCTCAGAGAGGCACAAGAGGTGGAGCTTGATTCTCCTCTTACCCTACCCTTCCTTGGTACTTCTTCCTACTGCATGAGAATGAGAAGAACCTTATAGAGTACCTTCCTATGGGCTATTGGGTTCACCCTATTTCCAATACTAACTTCAGCCACCAACACAGGCTGATTCTCCACTGATGCTCCTGATATACATTCAGCTCCCATCACCTTAAGCAAGTCATTTACCCTCCCTGATCCTCAGATTCTCTTCTCATCCATAACATGGGTCAATACCTGCCATAAAGGACCAGAAGAGATAAAGTATACAAAACTACTTTGTCAACTAGGAAATCCTATATAGATTTTAATACAGCCAAGGTTAAAATCAACCAGCTACCAACTAGAAGGTATTCTTTTCTCATCTATCTCTCCCATCCCCCTGTGGGATAAGAATAAATGATGGCCTAGACCAGGTATGATGCATGCACTTGTAGTCCCAGCTCTTTGAGAGGCTGAGCCCAAAGGATTACATAAGCCCAGGAGCACAGCTAGTCTTAGACAACACAATGAGATATCACCTTTAAAAAAAGCCATAATTTACCCCAAACTGGTATGTTTTTAGTTGTAGGTTCTCCTGGAAAACCAACAAGGCAGGTACTATCACCTTTTTATAGCTGTAGAAGCTGCATGGCCTGATCTGGACATAGTAAAAAGAGGTGCTCAAGTACTGGAGACAAGATTTGTCCTCTTACTTTCTGGGGAGACTACAGCTAGTAGGAAGAGGTCTCCCCTCAGCTCACCACAGGACCCATGGGTCAGGATGCAAGTAACATAGACACAATTCTAGCCTGCTTTCATAT